TGTATATATGTATATGTATATAATTGTGTATAGATATAAAAGTGTATATATATGTATATGTAATTTTCTATTTTATTTTTAAAAAATAAAATTTGAAATTCTGTATTTTTATTTTATTTTATTAGTTTTTAAAAAAATTCTAGAAATTTTTTATTTTTATTTTATTTTTTATTTATTTTCTGATGTGGCTGGATGATGTGGCGAAATGTGCTGATTTGGCGAAATTTGTATGACGTGGCATGCCACGTCAGCATTAAAATTGACAGAACATAACGTCGTTTACGGATATGGAGGAAATTGCAACACATTTTAAGATTTTGTGTGGGAATTTGGAAATATTTGAAATCCGGTGTAGTTTTTTGTCAAATTAAAAATTGGTATAGGAAATTGGAACTTTTTCGAAAATTTGTGGGGGAATATGGGATTATCCCAATAAGATGTGGTAATTGTAACTAATAGGTAGTAGTAATTGAGATCAAATTTTTCTAGAACCCAATTTGTCCTAAAAATCCAAATATTTAAAATAATATATAAAACCAGGTGGAGAAGATGCTAAAAGAATGTGGGTCCAATGTAAAGAAAGTGGTGAATCCACGTAGGCAAAGGACCAAGAAAATGTAGGTCCAATCATGAGAGAACGTTGAATTTTGATTTATTTTGTCTTATTATTGGTCAAAACCAAAAATTTATGACTTTATTATGACTTATTTGCCACCACCGAATTCTAATTAAATTGTTAAAAAATCGTAAATTTTAGCTCAATTTTATCAAATGATGATAAAAATCTGTCAATTAAGTGATAATAATCGGTTTATATTAATTCTTTTTAACAAATTTCATATTTTGTTTAATTTTATTTAATATAGGTGGATGTGTTTGTTTTAGGATAATATACATTTAATGTTGCACATCAAAAAATGTACAAGTGTTTAATAAATATATAATTTATGATCTAAAACTCTTTCTTTTGATATAATTAATGTATATTCATCATCTTTTGAAAAATCTTCGACAAAATACACATTTTATACAAATATTTTTTTCGATTCGCGAAGTCGCAAATAAGTCCTAATTAAATCGTAAAATATTGGTTTTGGTAGATAATACGACAAACATGAACCATTTTTTGATATACGAGACATTTAATTTTTTTATTTTTCTACTTATTTCATTTCTTTTTTTTTTTACTTTTTTACATATTTTGACATTTGACTTATTTTAACTAATTAATTATCATAATTGTCTAAACAATTATGTTATTGTAACTTAACAATTGCGACCATGACTGATTTTTTTATATACCTGAAAAATGCACAGAACAGTCATTTCAGAAGAAAAAAATATCACGCAGTGATTCAATAGCTTACAAAAAATAATAACAATTAACCGATTAAATGTACAATATATTTTTTATCTAATCACTCAATTTCGTCATAAATAGCATAAAAAATAGGGAAAAGTGCGATAAGGTAGAGAGCGGAGATAAGAGAGAGAGAGGAGGGAGATGGCTTGATAGAAGAGAGAGAAAAGATTAGTTGGACTTTTTTGTATGTTTTTTTAATTTTAAACGCATAGGGTTATTTTAGATATTTTACAGTTAGGGTTATATGAGTCATTTTATCATAAATAGGGTGTAGAATCTGAAAATTTTTTTTTTTACATTTTTTGGAATGTATCAGGTGTAATCCTGAAGTTTGCCCCTGTGGGTGAGAGAAGAATTTAAAGGGTGCGAATTAGGGTTAGGGTTGGCTCGCTTGTTCTTTGAAATCGAATCGAACCTTTTCTTCCGTTGCAATGGGCTTTTTGAAATCATGAGCTGTTTGGCCCATTTGATAGAAGTTTTGCAAATTTATTTTTAGAGAAAAATACTTTAAAACTCCTAAAATTCCTAAATGTGTGATCAATTTATATTTTTAAATACATTAATTTTTAAAATTATATTTTTGAATACAATAATTCCTAAACTTACATTTTTTAACACACTAATTACTAAACTTTGCTTTGGTCAATTAGTGATATGAACTATTATGGAATTTTTAAGTTTAGGAATAAGTTCATGAATTAATATTATCCAAAATTACAAGTTTAGAAATTTTCATATATTTTTTTCTTTTTTTATAATTTATTTTTCTGTGTTAAACAAAATATGAGAAAAAAAATTTGTAACTATCTATATATAGAATATATAAGCCAGGATACATATAGTTAATAAAAAAAATCTGGATTTAATCAATTTTTAAACGATAATTTTATTATTATTTATTTCACTATTTTTTTTTCTTCACAATTTCAGACTTTCAGTTACCTAAATGCAAATGTTTCTAATTTTAATATCATGGCTCATCAATATAGGCTGACACTATATATATATATATATATAGTAGCTTTTGTAACGGCTAAAACAATGTGGTTACGTTACGTTAATAAAACGATGAAGTTTTTTCGTAGCCAGGGTGGGCTATGACAAAATTCACATGATGCTCCTATAATATTCCATATATATATATATGGGTGTGTGTTTGTATATGTGTGTTCAGAGTCACGTGGCGTCTGTGATTATCACGTGGGTGAGAGCTAGATAATTCGATCCCGCAGGGGATTATTTTATTTTTGCGACCCTATCCATATGTGTGTGTATATAAATATCATAAGTGGGCCACACCTTCATAAACCCTTTTCTTTTCCATTAACAATGATAATTACTTTCTTTTTTTATATAAACATGTTTATTCATTTTTATTGTTGTTGACAAAAAAAAAATCTTGCTTTTTGGCTTTACTACTTTTTTTAGAGTTTCACAACTAATTTTTCTGAAAGTAAAATAAACTTTAAAATGTCAAATTATCCGAATTTTATTCTAAAAATTGTTTAACAGTCTTTAATTACCAAAATTAAAATATTTAACAGTATACACAAATATATGGCAAAAAAACAATTAGTAACCCACAAGCCAAAAAAGAAAAAAAGCAGGTCATGCCGAGGAAGATAGAGGATATATGTACAGGCTAAATGTATGCATGCATATATTTATACGTATATGCAGAATAGATACGTATAAAGGGGAAAAAAGTGGGATACCAAAGCAAATCTTGAGGACTGAGCCACTGACCAGAGACTGATTGGTGCAGACCACATAGAATCATTGTGGTTGAAACCCTAAAAACTACTGTGGAAGGGGGGAACTCTTCCCCCCACTCTTGTCTTTTATCCATAAACTAACTACACGTGTCGAGCCCGTATTTTCCCAAAATGACCCCATATTATACGTATTTTGTTCGATTTTCTCCATTATGGCATGTTGTATTCAAACGTTGGATATTAATATTTCGGGTTGTGAGTCTCATAAAATTAGGGTTTAAAAAAATGGGATAAGATGCCAAAAGAGTCCTTAAAATGGATGTTACACTAACACTTCAAAATTAGGTGGTTCAACTAGTAAATAAAAAAATAAGACAGTAAAACTCATTACTAATTCATATTCAAATATCTTTTTAGGGAGAGAGATAGTCACCCAAATTTCTCCAGATTATTCCGATTATAGAAAATGTAGTTGGATTAAAGGTATAGTAAATTTTTTAATTATAAAAATGCTTAATAGAATTTTGAAAAAAAAAAGTGTTTAACCCATTCGACTAAGATTCAATAGATTAAATGGATGTGTATCGATTTAATTTTATGACAATCAATCGATCGATTCATATTGAAAATAAATCATATATTGTATGAACAAACGACATATTCTTTATATTCATTCAATTGGATAATTTGTATTTATATCTAAGAATGTCAATTAAGTCCGAAGTCTGAAATTTGGTCCAAGTCCATATGAAAATAATAAGGACTTGGACCTAAAAGATATAGACTCACTAAATTTCGGACATTCGAACCTCGAATTATATGTGTTGTGGGCCAGCCAGGTTGAGCTTCAGGTTCGTTATTTTTTTTTTGTTTTTTTAATCCTTTTTTCTAAACCAAAACTTTAACTCTCTATGATTATCTTAATTTTTTTTTACCCTAAACTCTTTTGTTAAGTCACCATTGTTAACGTTTGTGTTGTGCTTCTACCATTTCGTCTCTATTTTTCTGGTTTTTGGGATTTCTATTCGTGTTTGTTGAAATTAGTTCTGAAAATATAAGGTTGATTTTTCTTGTCTCTCTCATCCTATTTATTAGATTGGATAATCCTCTTTTGTATTATTTTTTTCTGCTCAATCAAACTAAATACTTGCTATTTGATTATGTTTTATTTATATATTTTTCTCCTCATAGTGAATTGGTAATATTTCATACTAGTGAATTGGGTTTTGTTCTTCGATACGCATAAACATATATGTCTATATTTATATACATACATATATATATATATATATGTGTCTTTAAATAAAATGACAAATTTTATCTTGATTCCAATTAATGCTATTTAAAATGACGAATTTTTTTATTTCTTAACTATGTTACAACATATATATAGATGTAATATGGTTAATTACATCATAGAATACTTTTTTATATTATATTTATTATTTTTCTGAATGTTTCATAATAATAATAATAATAATATTATTGTTATGAAAAATTATTTTTATTTAATAAAAAATCCAAAATCCGGTTCGAATTCGTCCAAACCCCTATAGAGTCGGGTTCCAAACCATCGATTCTAGATCTGAAAAATAAATAGGTAGATCGGACCGATCCAAAAAACTCTAGACCCGAATTGAACTCGATACGAACCCGAATCCAGCCGCTCCGTCTATTTTACACCCCTATTTATACCGTAAGGTTGTACCGTACGTACAGCCGTAACGTATATACAATTCGTAGAACTCAAAAGACTCACGATGTCTATGCGTCCGTTTGTTTGGCGCTCTGTTTTCTTTCTGACAAGAGGAGCTGGCAAATGTGTATTAAATACGGCATCGTTTCATAGAACTCACTAAACGACAAAAGTCCCTCAAAAGGATATTTGGTTTAAAAAATACAAAAAAAAATGAAAATTCACATGAAAGAGACGGATTGGATAAAGCTTTAAACGTGGGAAGAACCAATAGAAAGAATTTGTTCTACACCTCACGCGCTCTCCTCATGCGTGTGAACCCCACTCGCTATCACAACGCAGGAGAGATTTCAGATTCCTCCGTCTTTCAGTCGCGGAAAAGAACGAACCCTAAGAAAAAAAACCCTAGCTTTCTAACTACTCTTGATCTTCCTCTCTAAGGCTTTTTTCTTACAAAAGGGTTTTGATTCTGTATTTACAAATCTGGGAATCTAAAAAGCAAATTCGGAGATTAGCGTCAAGAAACTGTTACCGGGTCTTTCGATTGGTTACGATGCATGATTCTCTGCAGTTAGATTCGATCTGTGGAGTTACGACTCTTAACAATCCCATACTGATGATGGTGATGAGACGATCCTCTGATGTTTCCGCCATTTCTGTGATGATTCTGCAACGAGGAAGATGAAGAAGACGACAAAGAGGATGAGAAGAACTGGCCGACGAGGGAGCAGACGGGGACGTTTAGAACCGGGGCCACTCTCACGTTTGCGCTGTACGATCTCTCCATTGAAGATCTGTGTCTATACCCGCTCGTTCCGCCATTGAAGCTACTTGGGCTGCTTGAGCTCCGCTCCAAGCTCTGAAACACAATCTTGCCCGAGGAGTTTAGCCGTGGGCTGTCCACGGACAGTCCTCTGCTTATCACTGTTCTCGAACTCCGCATCGGGCTCCGACCCACTCTTCCTGTTCCGGTCGCGGCGTTATTACCGTCTCGAGCCTTGACCAGCCTCATTCGCGGTGGATTCGGGTATAGGCTTCGAGCCGGAGCAAACGGATTCGGATCCATGTTCAGTTGGTGATGATTCGGCCTCTCCGAATCGAGAGATAGCCTTGGGAGGTCTTCGTGCTCGGGGCCGGAGGAGGAAGACGATAGGGAGAGACGCGACGAGGAAACGGAGAGAGATTCACAATCAGAATCCTTCAGCAGAGGGAGACCGAGAGACGAACCGTACTCGGAGGAGGAGCCGGAGGAAGATCTGGAGCTCCGGTGAAGGAATTGCTTCAGAGACGACGAGGATGATCTCGGATTCGAAGGATACGACGACGTCGTTTTGCTGTTCTGAGAGAATCGCTTCAGCCCTAGAATCTCTCTCCACCTGCTCGAGCACCGAGGCGCCTTCGGGGAAAACAAGCAATGATCCGTGCCGGAGATCTCCATCCTCTGGCATTTCCCATTCTCCGGCAACGTCGTCGAATCTGACGGCTGCTGCTGCAGCTGGTTCGAGCACGACGTGGGAAGCTGCAATGGCACGAGCTTCCCGTCGGAGAACAACTCATCGGCGGGAAGCATCGTCACCGGATCCTCAAGCTGGAACTCGAAATCTCCGGCGACATCTTGTGTTTCTTCTTCCTTCTTCTTCGGCACCTCCGTATCCAGTCCGGATACGGAGCTCCGACCATCTTCGCCGCCATTAAAGGGAGCTCTAGGATTGAAACACCCGTAGGCTGGGAACTCCGGGGAAACCCCAACGGTGTTGACGCAGGCGGAAGCCATTTCCGGCGATCATGCAATTTCCGACGTAGAATCTGCGACCAGATCTAGAGAGAGAGGTTTTTGAGCACTGCGTTTGGGGTTTTGGAGCTTTGCGCGAGCTTGTGGGTGTCCAGGTTGCGACAGTAAATAGGCTGGCGACTGAAAACTAAATATACGCAAGTAAATAAAATAAAATAAAAATCCCAATGCCATTGGCGCGTGTTTCTCACCGTGAGGGGTAATTTAGGTATTTATTGTTCTTTTAATATTCTCAATTTGATAAACGGCTAGAGCCTAATCCGCACAAAAGGCTTATTATTATTATTATTATTATTATTATTATTATTATTATTATTATTATTATTATTATTATTATTATTATTAAGAAGATGCAACTTGATAAACGACGGCCGAATGGATGGATGGAAGGGCAAGTGTCGATGGACTAAGGTTTGGATTTAGTCACCAATCAAATCGGTTTACGGTTTACGTCGCTTTAAGATAAGATTTGACAATGGTTTTGTCCGGTTATGGCATATGACCCTTTTGACTAAACCAACCTCGCTTTTGTAATTTCACAATCTGCCTTGAAGGCTTTTTGTCCAAGATCGCCGTAAAATTCGCATGAATTTAAGTCACGACCTATGCCCAAGTCGCAATCTTGTTACTGTTTCATTAAAATATCCGGAGTGTTTAATATTCGTAAGGCGTACTTTAGGTATTTACTGTTTCTTTAATATTCGCGTCATGCAATAATAAATTCTCAATTTTATCAAACGGCTAGAGCTTAGTCCACACAAAGGATTATTATTATTATTATTATTATTATTATTATTATTATTATTATTAGAGATAATGCTGAAAAACACCTATATTTTTTTCATATCTCAATTTAATATTTATATTTTTTAGCTAAAAATACATGTATAATTGATTTATCCCAAAACAAATCCTATATTTTTAAATATTGACCAAAAACCCTCTATCATCAAATAATTGTCACATAGACAAACGAAAATTCTATCGCGAGGTCAAAAAAATTCAACATTCCTCCTACTCATTGCCACATAATCACCAATAAAATTAAAATTAATAAATAATAAATAAATTATTAATAATAAATTAATAAATTAAAAAATACACGAACATACATATATATACACATATTTGCAAACATATACATACACATATATACATATATACATATATATAGATATGCGTATATATACAACACATACACATGCATATATACATTCATACATATATATACACATTTACATATAAACACATACATATATACACATACACATACATATATACATAAATATACACATATAAATACATATATATACCCATATATATATATATATATTTACATATATTTATATATTTATATGTATATATATGTATATATATATGTATTTATGTGTATATGCATTTATATATGTACGTGTTTATATATATATATATGTGTGTGTTTTATATGTATATGTATATATATATGTGTATATATATATATGTATGTGTATATCTATATACGTATATATATATATATGTATATGTATATGTATATGCATATTTTTATTACTTAATTTTTTTATTTTTTATTTTATTATTTATTAATTTTAATTTTATTTTTACGTGACGATAATATAACAATGATTAGGAGAGATGTGTTGTATAGGATTTCCATTTGTTTACCGGATAATTATTTGACGGCAAGGGTTTGACAAATATTTTTAAAATATGAGATTTGTTTTAGAATAAACTAATTGTATATATTTTTAAATTAAAAAATATAGGTATTAAATTAAAATAATAGAAAAATATAGGTATTTTTTAACAATCACCCATTATTATTATTATTATTAAGAAGATGCAACTTGATAAACGACGGTCGTATGGATGGATGGAAGGGCGAGTGTCGATGGGCTAAGGTTTGGATTTAGTCACCAATCAAATCGGATTTAAGATAAGGTTTGACTAAACCAATCTCACTTTTGTAATTTCACAATCTGCCTTAAAAGCTTTTGTCTAATATCACCGTAAAATTCGCATGAATCCGTGCCCAAGTCGTAATCTCGTTACTGTTTTATTAAAATATCCGGAGTGTTTTCCGGATAGATTGGATAAAGACCAACCATACATCATCATACGAATAATGACATTTAGATTTAGGTGCCATTTCGGATTTTGGCTTGGGTTCAGTTTGATTATATTCGGATTCATTTATAGAAATACTATAACTATTCGGTTTTTATATAAACTTTATTTCGGTTCGGATTCATTTTTTTGTAAAAATTTATTTTTTCAAAAAAGATTATCGGCTTTTCAGTTATTTTTTTTAATTCAATTCCATTTCGGTTTTTCAGATTTTAAAAATCATAATCATTCAATTTTTATGTCTTATTCGGTTCGGTTCGGTTACGGTTATATATTATTCGATTCGGTTCGATTATTTGATTAATAACCAAAATGGTCAATTGTAGACTTATCCATAATACTTTAGTATTATGAATAAAAATAAATTATTTGATACTTTAGTATATTTTTTTAATAATAAAGAGTACAATCTAAGATACCACAATATGAATAAGAATAAATTATTTGATTCGATGTCATGGAAACGAGAGAACATGTTAAATTAATTTTTATATGTTTTTTGGTGTTTGCTTCATAAAAATAATTTGTTATATGAAAAATGCTTAATATGTAATATGTTTGAACCACTAGCATAATATTTGATATAGTCACTAAAAAACAGGAGAGTGTATATACATATTCTTTATTCAAATAACTTGTGTTACAAAGGCGTATCTTGTTCCAAATAAATAGTTGGGGTTGAATTAGGAAAGTTTCAAAAATATCGGGGTCTTTTAGAAAATATCCCCCCCTGTCTTTTGACAGGTTACGCATGTTGTTCTAGCTACTCCCGCCGGCTGCCGGCGACGACAACAAAATTCGTCCATCGGGGAAGCTGTAAGCACTCTTGCAACACAAGATCCGAAACCCTAGAATGGATCATCGCCATTGTCGATTCCCTCGAGCCTTTCTCTTTCCTAATGAACGAGCCCACGTCGTCAATTTCTTCAAGGTGCATAAAATTTTTCTTCTTTTCGTTGGGTTTTTTTTTTTATGGGGTGTGTAAATTTTTTTCTTTCCGTCGGGCCAGATATTTCTCCTGGGTTATTGGATTTTCTTTCCAAACAACCTGAAGTTCATATTTTTGACTGGATTTTCTACTCGTCTGTGTATTGGTTCACGTTCCCTAGGAAAATTTGCTTGCGAAAGGAGAATCTGAAGAATCTTCTTCTTATACTTTCCGGTGATGTCCAGTCCAGGTAAATTCATGGACTTATTCATGATTGAATCGGAAAGAAGGGTTTTGGAGTTGTAATGCATGGAATGGATATTGGGTATCACCGAAAAAAAATGGACAAGTTTTAGTTTCTTATGTTGGTGGGGTTCTCATTTAGCTGCATGTTTCAATATGGTATTCAGTTCAAGCTTTTTTCTTTCCTTTCTTGCCTCTGTTTTGTTCAATTTGTATTGTGGATTTGAGTTTTGGGATTACTCTTCTGCTTCACTCAAGGAATCTGTTCATTCTTTGTGGCCTATTTCGTTTACAAGTGGCATTGTCCACTCTTTTTCTAGCTTTTTATCTTCATGAAATTATGTCTTGCTGTCTGTGGAGCAATCAGAAGACTGGATATGCTTAAATAATTGTCCTCTCTGGTTGCAGGTATTCCCAGATATGCACATGACAGCCATTTAACAGTCTTATCTCCCACAGGGCATGAATTTAAAGAAAAGAACATGAAGTACATACTTGTCTTCACTTTCTTAGTTGCAATTTATGTCTTTTAATGATGTCTACTTTTAGCATGTCCAACCATGACTAGCTCTCTTAATGCTTTCCTCACTGGCACTGCTGATAATTGATTCTTAAGACCAAGCTTTTATAGCTATGGAGGACAGGCAAGTTTCTCTAGAGGAGATTGAAAGCAACTCTAGTGGTTCATTGCTGTGGTAGCAAGTGTGATCTTGAAAGATTGCTTCCAACATTCCTGACAAAGTCATTTGCCCCTTAATTTGTAACATCAGAGTCTGCATTATTACAAAAATATAAGGCATAAAACCCTGTGAAGATCACCAAAAGCATAGGCTTGCGTAGATATGAATTTTCGGCTTTTATGAAGCCGAGACCCTTTAGTAGCCAAGACGCTTAATTCAAAACCGTAGGTGTATGTATCTTGATTATTATTTCTCGGCCATCTTTATCTTCTTCTTGTTCCATTTGAGTCAATCTGCAAGTTCTTTTATCAGTTTTGGGCATCTCTGTTCCCTTTCTTGTTGTTTACTTGACATTCTTAATTGTGTGGGTGCAATTGTGTTGATTTATTTCTTCATGTGGGAAGTGAAGCATTCTCTTTTGCCAATGCTAACATTTTTCCTTTTTGGCTGGTTTTGGATTGGAAAGGAAAAAAACCATCTATGAATTTGTATCTTAATGTCGGTATCTCTTCGGTATTTAATCGTCTGACAGAGATTTGATTAAATATGTCTTCCAACTTCCAAAAAGTATCGTTGTCTGGATTTTAAAGATGACTTGTTAAAATGTCTCTATGGGGTTGTCTAGCTCAAGTTCTTCTAAACCAAAACGTGTGTTCCGCCTCGATGTTTTATGCAAAATGCATAGGCTTTTACTGATGAGTATGAGCAGCTTTATAACCTAATGTTTTCCTTCCTTGCAGGTATCAAGACCATACAAGCAAGCTGAATTCGAGATTATGTTCGAGGAAGGAGTCCGTTAACTTCTTGGTATCGCCACCATCTTCGATCTCTTACAACACACACATAAACCATTTTTGTTCTTGTTTTAGCTTTAACGTAAATGTGGAGAGAAGTGTTTTGGATTGTGCTGAAATGATGGATGTCATGGTTGGTTAAGCCTTTTTTGTCGTTCTTTGGTTCAGGCTCGGGAAAGGAAGAGGTAAATCACTTCAGTATACTTAAGGGAAAACCCTCCTCTTAAAGACGAAATCGAAAAGGTTTGTTTCCTTAGCAATGGTTTTCGGGTATCAGAATCGTAATGATGATTGGTTGTGTCTAATGTTGTCGGATTCTTCGTATTTTTCGGAAACAAAACCGTGAAGATTCATTCTTTAAACACTCCCTCCTAAAAACTACCTTCCTAGTGATTTGGTCTCTTTTTTTCCGGCGTCGTTTTTTCGGGTTATGCAGAGAGTTAGATTGCCGATGACAGCATTGGAATATTATCTCATGTGAGAGTTCTGTTCTGATCTTCCGACAGACACAACACAACTGTAATTATTGTTCACTTTCTTGTTTCCTTTTTTTTTTTTTGAACATCATGAAAAATAACAGTTCTTCATGTAATTTCTACACCCTTATACTTGCCTTTGATTTACTTTATACAAGGAAATTAGATTGATATAATTTCTACATTGAAAATCTGACAGACTGCAGAAGTACAGTGAAGAAGAAGAAGAAGAAGAAGAAGAAGAAGAAACCTCTGCTCTTCGCCCATTAGTGTGATGTGAAAGCCTGCAACAATGGCACACCCAAAACGTCACATAAACTTGAACATTCGTCCATTGATATGCTTCTAAAGAACACCATCTTCTTAAGTTTCTGAATCGATAGAGAGAGAGAAAGATTCGGAACCCGACGTACCGAGAAGATGTTACAGTGTCCGGGATCTGCAAGGTGAGCCATCAAGTTCTCGATCGGACCTTCCCCCGTATAGATGGCTTGGAAACAGAACCCGACGAAGGCCAACATCGCTAGCCGACCGTTCTTAATCTCTTTGGTCCTAAGGACCATAACCGGTTCGGGTGAACCTCTTCCCCACATCATAGGATCGAACCATAAACCGCCCGGGTAACCCACGTCCGGTTTGGGGTTCTCCCTGTTCGGAAGCTTCGGTTCTATGTCAACGCAACCCGGTTTGATCATGTCTGCCCATCTACGTCCCTCTGCCCATGCCATCAGGGCTAACTGGGTCACGAGGAGCGTCGTGGGGTCTGCACAATATTCGCGTGCCCCCGC